AACTACTCTACCTCTTCCACACAAGTTCCAGTGGGCTAAATTAATAACAAATACCAACTAAGTTTAAGCAATGCTCAAACTTAGCAATAGAAAGTAATTTTGTCATCATATCAATGGAAATCTCCTTTGTATCAACCTTCCTCACTACAATATCATCACGAGCAATTAGTTCACACACAAAGTGATATCTCACATCAATGTACTTTGTCCTCTTGTGAAACATCCGATCCTTTGTCAGAAAGATAACACTCTGACAATCAAAATAAATTGTAGAAATCTGCAAGTTTACACTAATTTCATCAACCAAACCTCTCAACCACGTAACCTCTTTGCATACTTTTGTAATAACATTGTACTCTACCTCGGTTATAAAGAATGTTATTAAATTCTTCAAAGTAACATTCCAACTAATAACACAGCCTCCAATAGTAAACATATACTCTATGAGTGATCTCCTCTTATCAAAATTTCCTGTATAATCTAAAGTCACATATCCAATAACTTCATCTATATTCCTATCAAAAAGCAAACAAGCATTACTAGAGCCCCTCAAGTATTTGAGTATCTACTATACTACTTTTCAATGTTTCTTGCAAGGATTTACTATGTATTCACTAATTGCACTGATTGTATATGCCAAATTTAAACGTGTACAAACCATAGCATACAGAAGCATTCCACTGCAATTGAACAGGAAACTCGAGACATGTAATCATTGTCCACGATTAGATGATAATTTAAAGGGTACTCAAAGGAATACTGACAGCCTTTGCATTCAACATATTGAACCTGTAAGTACCTTCTTAATATATCCCCTATGACTCAAATATAATTTGTCAGGTTTCCTATCCCTCAATATCTCCATACAAAGAATATTTTTATTGTACCCAAATCTTTAATCTCAAACTCTTCACTGAGCTAAGTTTTCACCTCATTGGCCTCTTCTTTATCATTGACTGCTATCACCATGTCATCAATATAAAACAATAGATATGTAACTGAGTCTTCATCACACCTTCTGAAGTACACACAACTCTCATAACTACTTCTAATGAAGTTGAAGTTATAAAAAGCCATGTATGAATTGATCCTCTCATATCACTGTCTCGATGATTGCTTTAATTCATACGAGGATTTTTTTAATAAGCACACGTAGTTATCTTTTCTAGTAACTATGAATCCTCTAGTTGTTGCATATAAATGTTCTCATCAAGTTCTATATGTAAGAATGTTATCTCGACATTCATCTGCTCAAACTCCAAGTCATCCTTAGTCACAATCCCAAGCAATGCTTAAATTGAGCTATGCTTTACAATTTGTGAAAACATATCTGTGAAGTCTACACTAAAATCTGACTATAATCCTTTGATACCAATCTGGCTTTATACCTGAGCAATTTTACCAAGCCCGTGTTATTTCTTTTGAACACCCATTTGCAGAGAATAACCTTCTCCTCCTTAGGCAATTTTACCAAGCCCACGTGTGATTTTTATTAAGTAACCCCATCTCTTCCTGTATCGCAATCAACCATTTACTAGAGTTACTACAATTGACTGTTTTTGTGTATGTAACAAGCTCTTAATTGGAATCAATACTGTCAACTACATTCAACGCATAAAATACCAAGTCCACTTATCCATAATTTTGTGGACGTCTAATCTTTCTGCAAGATCCATCTCAAAACAGGCAAAGTGTTATTCTTCTTCAACTTTGAACTAGACTAATTTGAAGCCTCTGATTTCTCTTTTGAACTAATTTCCAACTCTACTTGAGCAATTTGATTCTGTTGCTCAGTTTTACCAGAATCTCCATGAGAAATATTTTGAATCATTGGGAGTTCATCAAACACTACATCTTTATTAACCACCACATTTCCTGTTTTCGAATACCGCAATTTATATCACTTCACACTTGATTCATAACTAAAAAAGATACACTTTCTAGATTTTGACTCCAACCTCTCATTATTCACATGAGCATAAGTACAGCACCCAAATATTTTTAAATCAGAATAACTAGAAGGATTAGCAGACCATACCTTTTCTAGTATCTTTTTCTCAATTGAAACTGATNACCCAAATATTTTTAAATCAGAATAACTAGAAGGATTAGCAGACCATACCTTTTCTAGTATCTTTTTCTCAATTGAAACTGATGGTGAGTGCTTAATGAGAAAACAAGTTATAGTAGCAACTTCAACCCAAACACTTTTAGGCAACCTAGGATTTGAAAGCATACAACGAATATTTTCTATAAAAGCTCTATTTATCTTTTCTTTCATACCAATCTATTGCAAAGTTTCAGGCACTGTCAAATGTTTTAAGATCTCTTCTGTCTTATAGAAACTATTTAATTTATCTGTATAAAACTCTAGCCCATTATCTGTGCGTTAAGGTTTTATTTGCTTCTCAGTCTACTTCTCAATCATTTGCTATTCTTTGAAGGTAATAAACACATCACTTTATGTTTCAAGAAGAATACCCAATTCTTCCTGGAAAAATCACATCACTATCAATAAGTACTAAGAACCTCCTTTAGAAAGCACCATTGTCGGTCCCTGAAGATCTGAATGAATATACTCAAGTTTTCACTTCATGTTGTGTCTTCTTTAGGTAAATCTGATTTTTTTCCCCCAAAAATACAATACTCACATAACTTAAACTCACTGTTATCTGCCCATCAAGAAGTCCTATCCTGTTCAATTATACAATTCCATTCTCACTCATATGTCCAAGCCGCATATGTCAAAGTTTTATAACTTCTATATCTGTCAAAGAATAAGTAGTATCTACTTTATCCCCTGTAACTGTAGAACCCTGCAAAATGTACGACTGTACGGAGCTTATATGTCCATTCATGACGACAAGAGCACACTCGACTTATCTTCAAAACTCTACCTTTAGCAGTATATCTATACCCCTTTGAGTCAAGGATGATCAAAGACATGAGATTCTTTTTCAGTTCTGAAACATACCTTACATGAGTAAGCGTCCTAATAGCACTATAAAACATTCTGATCCTAATTGTACCAATCCCAACTATTTTACAATGCACATTATTTTTTCATAATTATAGCACATCTCGAAACCCTTTCATATGTCGAAGACCAACTTTTAGTGGAATACATATGAAACGATAAATCGGGTCAAGAACCTAATCATCACAAGGTTTGTAATCACTATCAAAAATCACAAGCAGTTCTCCATCACTTTGCTTATCTTCCACAAGATCAGTTTATCTTTTATTTTCAAGTTGCTTTCCATTATTTGTAGTAGCAACAACCATTCTATTCCTATTTTTCAATTTGCGGCAATTAGCTCTAAAGTATCCATTCTTTTTACAAAAGTGATATATTTTCTCTATATGTCTTGACTTCGATCTATTCCTCATATTTTCACCAAAATTTCTATCTTGGTTCCTCCCAAACAATTAGGACTTTAGCCTAACTCCCACATCCAACTACAAGATGCTTTATCTTTTCCTTTGATAATAAAGCATCATAGACCTCATCCACTGTAAAATTATTACGACTATAAAGAATAGTATCTCTAAAAGTCAAATATGAAAACGACAATGAGCACAATAACATCAATGTGAGATCCTTCTCGTCATACTTAATTTCCAATATTTATAAATCAGCCACAATTTTTTTGAACGTAGATAAGTGATCATCTATCGGTGTACCTTTAGACATGTGATGGGAATACAAGCACTGCTTAGTGTAATTTACTAGTCAATTGTTTATCATACATAGTTACTCCACTCTCAACTACAATGTAGTGGCATTCTTCTCTTTTAGAACATCCTGAAGTATGCTTTTTGATAGATGGAGATAGATTTGTGACAGGACCTAAGCTGTTTTTCATCTTGTGTCCAGGTTGAAGGCATTTTATCATAACCTAACAAGATATCATCCAAATTCATCTACGCAAGAACAACTCGTATCTTCACTTGCAATTGAGAAAACCTCATGTTGCCATCCAATAATGGAATATCATATTTTATAGTTGCCATGCAGAATGTCAAACTTGCTCCGATATCATTTTGTTATAAATAAAGTAAGATAATTGGAAAGATAAAATTAAAAAAAAAATAGACATAAAAATACAAAGATTTTACTTGAAAACTAAAGACAAAAAAAAATCATGGGTGGACTGTGAATTTTTTAGTAATGAATGTTGTTAATACAATATCTCAATACTCTCAATCAAGATCTAAACCTCTTTCAAGACTATATCAATGTTGTATTATGTTTACAAGTCATGGATACTACATATAAATCCTAAAAATGAAGTCATAGAAGAATAGAAGTGTTGAAAACGCGTTAAAATGTGAAACGGCCCTAGGCAGAAAGATTCGTCGGACAAGAGCTAGGCGGGCGTCAAGCAGGTGACAACTCCCCTACGTGAGCGGTAGGCTAGCGTCAAATGGGCTCCAGCTCCCTACTTTGCGAGCTTGAGCGGGATATAGGTGCTCAACAAGCAGGAATGCATCAAGATTTTCTCATTGATCCATAATTTGACATCTTCAAGTCATATTCAACCAAAACACTGATGCCTAATAGAATCATACTTCAAAAAAAAGATGTATTGGGTTTATTTGAGTTCTATTTTTGTTGAAAAATAAATTTTGTAATAATAATATTTTGGAGAATTTGTAATTAAAATGTAAAAAATATTCTTAATTATTCGTAAAATTATTTTATTCAGAGAATGTATTGTTAGTAACATAAGACGACACTTTTTAATGTTGAGGATTCAGAACCACATCACATGTGAAGTTGGTGAGTGGAGCTATAATATATATGGGGCATTTTGGTCAATAGAAAAGGTATTGTCAATCAAGGCAAAAGGTTGAAAACAAAATCATAATATTCCCTAATATTTTAACTCCATAATTTTCTCCTGTCTCAATCTATCACCTCTACCCTACTGTCAACCTCTTTTCATTTCCACAAAAGCCCTAATCAGGTCCCTCTGGTACACTCCTCTCTTTCTCTCTCTATATCTCTCTTTTTCTCTCTCTATATCTATTTATCTTTCTCTTTCATTGTGTACACAGTACATATAACTACAGTTGCCCCCTCTTTAAGGAAAAATATCAGCCAATCTCTCTACAAATATTTGTAGAAAATAAAGCCGTAAAAGCTAACCAAACATCATAGAACTATCATGGTTTTCTAGGATTGATCAAACATCATAGATAGATTTTAATTTATATATATATATATACAAGAAAAAAGCATAAATCTCTTGTAACTATTCATACTGTGCCCTCTTTCTCCTATTTCTTGTGATCCTAGAATTATCATTTTTGAATCTCAGTCCACACCTCTAAATTCTTTCAAAAATGGCGAAAACTGAAGTCTAATTGATGCATTTTTGTTCAATTTCTTGATCAGGAATTTATGTTTGGGTTGGATACCCTTGAGGCTAACTGAAGCTCTCTTTCTTCTCCATTTGAACCTAGATCAGACGAGCAGTCATGAACCCAACTCGAGAAATGGACTCTTCAAGCACAGAAATCACCAGTTTCACCATTAACACGCCACCAAGCAATAACTCAATGGTGGGTTCACCTTCTGGCTCCTCCACCGCCGCCACATCTCCGACAACACTAAGCCGATACGAGAACCAGAAGCGTCGAGACTGGAACACCTTTGGCCAGTACCTTCGAAACCACAGGCCACCACTCTCCCTCTCTCACTGCAGTGGCGCCCATGTCCTTGAATTCCTCAGGTACTTAGATCAGTTTGGAAAAACGAAGGTTCACACTCAGCTCTGTCCCTTCTTTGGGCACCCAGACCCGCCTGCACCGTGTCCTTGCCCCCTGCGCCAAGCCTGGGGAAGCCTTGATGCCCTTATAGGCCGCCTCCGGGCCGCCTATGAAGAAAATGGAGGCAAGCCTGAAGCAAACCCATTTGGGGCCAGAGCTGTGAGGCTTTATTTACGTGAAATTCGTGATTCGCAGTCAAAAGCTCGGGGAATCAGCTACGAGAAAAAGAAACGAAAAAGGCCACTGCAGCAGCCGCAACAGGCTTTACCACCACCAAATTCAAGCTAATATGGCCAACATCTGCATGAAATTTGTTGCCAACTATCAAAATATTACTTCCTATATAGTCTTATCTACTAGCAATCTTAGCCACTGCATCACCTATGAGACATTATGACAAAAAGGTACCTAATATTGCCCTTTATATGTAAGCTTTGTTATTGTCTTTCTGCAAAAACTATGTTCATATTTCATGAATAATGTTGATCTTTGTGCAATAATTTAAATTTCATGTTGCAAGTGACTGTTTTGTACTAGTGGCAAGTTATAAGACTGTGACCAAATTGTCTTGGATTATTAAGTTTCTGATGACAAGTAATAGATTTTAAGCATCACCGTGACTGTTTTGTACTTGTCTTTCTTTCCATTATTTTCTGGTTTTGTAATGGGGTTTCGTCATTGGTTCAGCAAATGTATAGAGAGGGATGAGTTTCAATTTTTACCTTTTTGCATACTGTGCATTTGCTAATCTTGAAACTGAAATTATCAACTAATGAGCGTGGTTTCTGTACGTAAACCCATTGTATTCTGCACCCTGAGACTAGGTTAAAAAGCTTCTTCTTAGCCCTTATGGATAGTATACATTCTTCTGTAGTTTTTCTCAGTTTAAAAATATTCTTTTGGTCATTCTTCGTAGTGTGAAGGGGTAAATTTCCCATTAAATCAAGATGAAATATATGTCAATTTATAAGGATTTGGACAGCTTCGTTAATTTTTTAATATGAAAAATTCTTAGCTTCGAGCCCATTAAGCTCTAACGAACAATTTCGATCCGATTAAGACTGAAAGAAAAAAGAAAAGGTGAGCACAGATTTCAAGATTGATTTGTTCGGATGAGCTATGACCTTGCAGGGCATATTAAAGGATAAATCAAACTCACACAGAATAAAGATGAAAATATAAATTAATTTATAATGGTTTGTTTATAAGGATTTGGATTACTATTTTAATAAATTGGCCTTTTAAGATAAAATCTAAATTTTTAAATGTAGATGCCCCTTTCCTCTCTTCATTTGGGGGTTAGGTTCATTCTAAAAAATGAAAAAACTTTGAGCCCCTGTTTGGCCTTCATTAAATTTTATTTCATTTTTCTTTCTCTTATTTTTAATCACGTAATCTTTCATAAAATAATATTACACGTAAATTGAAAATTTTTCCTCCTTTTTCAATCACTCATTTTTCCAAAAAAAAATACTATTCTACTGATTTGCATTTCGAAAAATAGGGGCCAAACAGGTGCTGATTCTGTGTGGGCGTGTGTGAAGGAGGGATAGAGGTTGCTGGCTCCTGAGATAGTCTCTGCAAATCCATTGCCCATTTTTCAATTGTCAAATCACTCGTGTATGTTCCC